TGCTGCTCCTGCTGCTGCGGCTGCTGCTGCGGCTGCTCCTGCTCCGGCTGCTGCTCCGGCTGCTGCTGCTGCTGCTGCTGCTGCTCCTCCAGCCGCTGTAGCTCCAGCTGCTGCCGCTCCAGCTCTCGCTCCTCTCGCTCCAACTCCAGCTGCTCCTCACGGGCACGGCGAACACGGGCCTGGTGCCGGGTCGGGTAGGGGTGGGGGGGAGGAGTAGTGTCCGGAGCGGCGGTAGCCCCAGGACCGCTCTCCAAAGAACCAGTCGCACCACCCCCAGAGCCAGCACCACCAAAAGTAACAGGGCCCGTCTCAGGCTCTCCAGGTCCAGCAGAGGGTGCACCCTCAGTCGTAGCACCCCCAGGGACAGCTCCACTAACACCAGCTCCCCGAAGACTAGAGTCTTCTGCAATCACGGGCTCAGCTCCAACTCCAGCACCCAGGACCTCGCACAGGTACGCTCTCTGCTCCAACTCCAGCACCTCTAGAGTCCTCCAGGGTCCTCACCACGAAAACCAGCTCCCGCAGGGTCTGCTGCAGGCTGGGAGGACTGCGGGGAAGGGGACGGCACCTGAGGGGCTACCGAGGGGGGAGGGGTAGCATGTGACACACCTGACGGGGCTGGGCCGGGGGGGGGGGGGGGGGGGGGCTGTACCGGAGGGGCAGGAGGGGGGGCGGGAGTCAGGAAGAGAGGAGGAGGAGGTATTGAAAGACCTTGACAGGGGTACCGAGTGTAGTAGGGGACTGACTCGACAAAACGAACGTCGTGGGAGTCAAAGAACCGGTGAAGGGAAGGGTGGTAAAAGGTGAAGTCAGAGGAGTCAACGGGGAAACCAAGGAAGACACAGGGAAGAGCGCGAGGGGAGAGCTTATCCGCGGAGGTGTCGCGAACAAGCGCCAAACAGCCCCAGACACGAAAACGCGACGCAGCACCAGGGGACCCGGTCCAAAGACTGGTCGATGAAGCCTCTGGCCGAGAGACACGTGGCCAGAGGTTCAGCTGGTGAGCGGCGTACCGAACCGCGTAGGGCCACAGAAAATGGGGCGCACGGGCGTGGATCATGGAGGTGCGTGCAATCTCCATGACCAAGCCTATGCGGCGCTCAGCAACCCCATTCTGCTGTGGGGACTCTGGAAGTGTCCAGGACTGACGGATGCCCTGCTCGCGACAGAATCCAGCGAGAATGCCGGAGTGAAACTCACCCCCACGGTCGGAGTGAAGACAGCTGACACGACGGCCACGAGTGTCCGTAGTGGTAAGTTACCACCGGATCATCGTAGAAGTCACCTCAGACTTCTCTTCGCCAGGGGGGACACTGTGGTGTAGCGAGAGTAGTCGTCAACGACCACCAGAAAGAAACTCTCTTGCTCAGGGCCAGGGCGAGGGGCGGGGCCCCAGACATCCAAGTGGAGAGTCTCGTAGGGCTCGGTGGCCAGACGTAGGGAGGAGGAGTGAGGGGTGGCGCGCAGCCGACCCTCGACACAGGGACCGCAAGGTGGTGCAAGCAAAGGCGGCAGCGACGGCAAGACTCGCGGGAGGTCTAAGACAAGACGCTGACTAGACATAGCGCGCACGCGAGGAATGGACGGGTGCCCCATCCGGTGGTGCCACAGAACGGTAGGGTGGGCAAGTGACCGGTAGGAGCACGACGCAGCAACTGGACCAGACACCGGAACTTGACCAGACACAGCTTCCTGGGGAGACGCGGCAACCTGGTGAGACGCGGGAACCTGACGGGGGGCAGTGACAGGGGTCGGGCGCAGTAGCTGCTGCTGCTGCTGCTGCTGCTGCCGCTGCTGCTGCTGCTGCTGCTGATGCCGCCGCCGCCGCCGCCGCTGCTGCTGCTGCTGCCCCCGCTGCTGCTGCTGCTGCTGCTGCTGCCGCTGCTGCTGCTGCTGCTGCCGCTGCTGCTGCTGCTGCTGCTGCCCTCAGGGGCCAGAGTGAAGTGTGTAGAGACCAGAGCCCGGCTCAGCGGTAAAGGTGACGAGAGGCGCGTACGTGTCCCCGTCAACACAAACCGCAGTCTCGCCAGAAGGCTCAATCCACACACCCACGTGCTGACTCACGAGCGGCCTCACGCCCACCAAGTTCCTCGAGAACGAGGGGACGTGGAAGCCGGTCAGAGAACCGGAGGGAACAGCTGGGCACGGAAGCGTAGTAGTGTAGCGAGCAGTGACTGGTCCCGAAGTGGGGTAAGTGTCGTGCGGTCGCGGAAGAAGCAGTGCGGAGCTCCGGAGTCCAGAGTGAAAGAAAGCGAAGCGTCCTCCGGAGCAGCTCCTGGACTAGTGTCTACACAAGTACCTACACTAGCAACAGGAACCTCAGCAAGACTGAGAGAAGCCGACATGCCCCATAGAGCGGAGCCGTACGTCTGAACAAGGGGAAGCCAGTCAGGGGCAGGGCCGTCAACACCGTAGGCCAACCGAACCGTGTCAGTAAGCTGAGCAAAGCACTGACCCGGTGGGTGGCTGCGGCCACAAGGCTGGCCGCGGCAGGCACCTGTCAGAACGTGATAGGTGCAGGGAGGGTGGACGACACCGCGCTGCAGCTGACGCTGTCCTGACCCCTGCCCCGAAACCTGCTGCGGCCGCTGCTGCTGCTGTGGCTGCTGCGAGGGGAGGGGCTGCTGTTGTTGCTGCTGCTGTCGCTGAGTCAGGTACCACGCCGCTGCTCCATCCCCTGTGGCTGGCAGACCAGTAGGTGGCGGACGAACCCGGGCGTCACCTCCACCAGGCGCAGCAGGGGAGTCACCGGCCGCTGCACGAGGCGCTCCTCCAGCCCCTGCACTCCCGCCGCCGCCGCCGCTCGCCACGTCACCCCCACCGCCTCCGCCGCCTCCGCCCGCACCCTGACCGCCCCTCCTGCCACTCCTACCCCAAGACCGCGAAGAAGTCGTAACAGCAGTTGCGGTCACGTCAGTAGCGGCAGTGGCGAGGGAGGCAGAAAAGGTGGGCAGCTGAGGGACAGTGCACCCGTGAAACAGTGGAGGAGGCACAGCACCAGAGGCAGAGGCTACCGAGCGGAGGTTGCTCTCGACGTCCTTGAGGGCCGACTCAAGGACCTCGATAGTGAGCTCGCTAGGGTGCTTCAGAAGAAGCGCGTCACGAACCGAGGCAAGGCGGTCAGGGAGGCTAGAGGCGATGAAACAGATAGTAATCGCCACGGGGGGAGGGAGCAGTGCAAGCTGTGCGTCAGTGCAAGCAGCGCGGTAGCTAGAATCGAGCAAGCGCAGATGAGTGATCAAGTCAGCAGTGCGCTCGAACGAGGCGAGGTCAGGAAACAGGAATGGAAGGAACATGCGACCAAGAGAGACAGTGGTAGGAGTAGTGTAGCGGGCCTTGATCGCAGTCAGGAACTCACTAGCCGTGCGAACCTGAGTGAAGTGGGTCTCCTCAGACTCAGGGAGGAGGCTGCTGAGGGCGATGCAGGCCGCAGCGTCACGCGACTTCCACGCGGTCACGTCAGCACGCTCGCGTGCATAACGGTCACTGTCTGCAGGTGTGGGGTCAGCTGCTAAGGGTGCAGGGCTAGCGGGCTCAGGAAGGTCACCGGAAGCGTGCGCCCACAGAGTCTCGTGTGCCTGAACCTGGCTCTCTAGGAGGCGGCGCGCACGCAGGAGCCAGACCGAGAACTCGAGTGGCCTACCCTCAGCGTCAAAGCGCAGGACCCTAGGGGTCGCCATAGCGGAAGCGTAGAGGTGGATACTGCTGCTGCCGAAACCCTAAACGCCTAGAGGGTCCGAGCAGGGCGCGGCAGGTTGAACGAAAGGCGCAACGCGACGGGACAGCAGGGCATGACGCGACGGGGCGGGTAGGACGCGACTCGACGGGACAGCAGGGCGCGACGCGACGGGCTGGGGGCGAATCGACGGGAGGGGGGGGGACGAGACGCGACGGGCAGGGGACGAAACGCGACGGGACGGGCAGCGCAACGCACAGGGGACGGGACGGGCAGCGCGACGTGCAGGGGACGGGACGGACGGGCAGCGCGACGCGCAGGGGACGGGACGGACGGGCAGCGCGACGCGCAGGGGATGGGACGGACGGGCAGCACGACGCACAGGGGACGGGACGGGACGGGCAGCGCGACGCGTAGGGGACGGGAGGGGCAGCGCGACGCGACGGGCAGGGGACGCGACGGGCAGGGTACGGGACGGGCAGGGGACGGGACGGGCAGGGGACGCGACGGGCAGGGGACGGGACGGGCAGGGGACGGGATGGGCAGGGGACGCGACGCGACGGGCAGGGGACAGAACGAGGGGCAGGGAGGCGCGTGCGACGGGCACTACGAGCGCTACGGGTGCTTCGTGACGAAGCGGGCAGGCGCTAAGGGCGCTACAGGCGCTACGGGCGCTTCGCGACGGAACGGGCAAGCGCTAAGGGCGCTACAGGCGCTACGGGCGCTTCGTGACGGAACGGGCAAGCGCTTAGGGCGCTACAGGATGGAACGAACGGCCACAAGAGGCGCTACGGGACGAAACAGGCGCAACGGGAACGGTAGACTACGTGCAACCGGCGCGAGAGGCTCTAGCGGGATCCCACAGGATCCTAACCTAGGTGATACCATGTCAAGAATGAAAGTGCTGGTTTGACTAAGGTTGGTTGGGGCACATAAACCTAACCCTAACAGTCGTACCCTCTATAACACACATCACTAAGACTACAACATTTGACAGTAACAATCCTGTTGCACTGTTTGGGAAAGGGTAACTTCCAAAAAACGGCGCCAGTCAATGCAAAACGGGTATTTTGGGGGCTGTTCGGCATGCTCGCAATTGTCTGAATTGTGCGAGTATGGCACACAACCTGTTACCGTACCATTGTTGCTTCATTCCTTCATGTCGGAGGATGCAGCATTTCATGCAAAATTCTGCAGTATAGGTTGCAGCGCAGTGCAGACATTCCAATAGAATCTACACAACATACAGTACAAAGCACCTCCATAGGATGGGACACAAAATTTATTTATCAACATCAGCTAGTGCATGACGTCGTGGGTCAGGTCAGGTGTCCTGTGCGGTAGTGGGCGGTGCAGAGTCGGAGGGGGGCACGATATCGGAGCAGAAGCGCTGGGTGACGGGAGACTGGTACTCCACAGGCACGTTTTCACAGAAGCGCGCCGCCTGCTCTGACTGGATGGACGGCGCCACGAGCGGAATGAGTGCCTGCAGCCGCTCCACTGACCCGCGCTGCCCCTCCACCACCTCCTCTAGCGTCTGCACTGCACTCATTGCTGCCCGCTTGCTCGCCTCCGCCTTGACTGCTGCACTCTCCAGCTCCTGCCGCCCACTCGTTGCTGCTGCCAGGCGCGACCGTAGCATCTCCACCTGCCATGGAGCACCACGTGGCACACACACGGGGGCACACAGGGGCACACAGGGGCACATGGGGCACATGGGGGGCACATTATAGTCGACTCAAAGTCACCTTCTGCCCGCTCGTTGCTGCTGCCTGCCACGGGGCACCACGGGGCAACACGCCTCACCTCTTGCTTGCTCGCCTCTACTAATGCACCCACGTCACCAGCACTGCCATGCATCACATGACGCATTCCGCCCTGCTCTGCTGGCATGGGAGGCACACCTGGGTGGCATGAGGCACACCTGGGTGGCACGCCCAGCAGCCACTGCAGCGTTTTGAGACGTCTCAAATCGCATGGGATGGGAGGCACACCTGGGTGGCGTGCGAGTCATCAGTGAAGGAGTTGAAGGGGGTAGCGGGGATGATGACAGCCAGCGCGATGGTGGTACCATGGGGCACACGGGGCACACGGGGCACACGGGGCACACGGGGCACACGGAAGCACACGGAAGCACACGGAAGCACACCGGGCACACACACCTGGGTGGCGTGCGAGTCATCGGTGAAGAAGGAATAGAAGGCGGTAGCCGGTACGATGACAGCGAGGGCGATGGTGGCGCCCAGCAGCCACTGCAGCGAGTGCACGCGGTCCACCAGCTTCTGCTTCTGCTCCACCGCCATCGCCTCCGCTGCCTCCACGTACTCCTTCAGCCGCGCTGCTGCTCCCTCCGACCCCTCTGCCGGCCGCTCCTGCACCTGCTCTCCCCCGTGCCATGCCCACGCACACACACACACACACACGCACGCACACACGAAGACACACATGAGCATGAGGAGCATAGTACGGTCAGGGTGTGGCCATGCAGAGGTGCGTGTGGAAAAGTGGATTCGGGAAAGAAGTGGAGTGAGCAGCACGTGGTGTGAGCAGCAGGGCGGAGTGGGAAGGGTGAGCAGCAGGGTGAGCAGCAGGGCGGCACCTGGTTGCGTGCTTCATCGAGCTGCTGGCGCATGTGGTGCGTCTCCTCTATCAGCCGTGCGCTGCGCTCCCTCACCACCGCCGCCTCACAGCTCACCCGCTGCATCAACACCCTGTATGTAGTGCGCACAAGGCAGGGAGGGGCGCGGGGAGGGGTGCAGGGAGGGGCACGGCACATGCAGCAGCGAGGGGGTGGGGCAGAGACAGTGAAGGCACGTGAGACGAGCAGCAGCACATGGCACGAGCAGATGGCAAGTGCATCATGATAGGATGACATATGAGAGGTGAGAGGCGGGAGGGGAGAGGCGAGGTGAGGGATGAAATGTGAGGGATGGGAGGTGAGGGCAGCACAGCACACCCGGCAGCACCCCCGTGCACGGGCATGGCAGGGCGGGCACTTGCCTGAGCAGCTCGCCCGGTTGCCCCTCAGCCTGCTCCATCTCCATCTCCACGCCCCTCTCTGCCGCCAGTGCTGCTGCCTCGGGTCCCATGGCGCCCATCACGTCGCTCGCTGCCCCCAGCTGCGCTCGCCACGCCTCCTGCACCTCGCCCTCGCGCCCCTCCGCAAACGCGAGCTCCGCGTTCAGCCGCGCCAGCTGCCACCACCACACCACCACACGCCGCATGGAGCGAGGAGGGGAACAGGACCAGAGGGAGGGGGAGGAAGGGGGGAAATGTTAAGTCCCAGAGAACCCTTGCCTCCTCTGCCATACCGCCATGCGACCATGTCCTGTGCGCAAGGGCTATCCTTCCCCCAACTTCCCCCCGGCACCCCCCATCCCTCCTGTCCCCCGCCATCCCTCCTGCTACCCCCCCATCCCTCCTGCTACCCCCCCATCCCTCCTGCTACCCCCCCATCCCTCCTGCTACCCCCCCATCCCTCCTGCTACCCCCCCATCCCTCCTGCTCCCCCCATACCTGGCGAGCCATTTCCTCCATTTGGGCGGAGAACACGGCGGCCCGCGAGGCCAGCTCTGAGTCCTGGTTGCGCAGCGCTGCCAGCTTCGCCTCCACCTGCTCCGTGCGCGCGCGCTGCCGCGCCTCCTTCTCAGAAAGCTCCTTCACCAGCGCCATCAGCTGCTTCGCGCGCTCCCCGCTCGCCACGCCCTCCGCCGCGCGCTCCGCCTCGCGCATGCGCAGCCGCTCCAGCTCCCCGCTCAGCTGCCCCACGCGCGCGCCCGCCTCCGCCGCGCTGCCCTCCAGCGCCTTCACCTGCTCTGTGAGCAGCCCCGCTGCGCGCGCGGATACCGCCTCCGCCTCCTCCGCCTTGCGCGCGCGCGCCTCCAGCTGCGCGACCTGCTTTTCTAGCACGTCCGCGCGCCCCGTCGCCTTCTCCGCCACGCCCGTCGCCGCCTTGAGCCGCTCGCTCAGCTGCTGCACCTGCGCGCCCAGCGCCGTCATGCGCGCGCGCGCGTCCTGCGACTCGCTCACGCTCTCGCCCTTCGCCCCCTCCAGCTCCTTCAACGCGCGCCGCTTGTCCTCCTCCGCCGCCAGCGCCGCCGCCTCCGCGCGCTGAGCACGCTGCTCCTCCTCCTTGACGCGCGCGCTGAGCGCGCCGATGCTCTTCTCGGCGCGCGCGACGGCCGCCCACTGCTCCTTAACCTCATCCTTGGCGGCCTGCAGCTCCATGCGCAGCCCTTGGATCACCGTCGACGCGCGCCCGCCGCGCTGCTCGTCCGCCTCCACGCGCGCGCGCAGCGACTGCACTTCCCCCTCCAGGCGCTCCTTCTCCGCGCGGCCCTGCTGCTCCACCGCGCGCATGCGCTCCCCCAGCAGCTCCATGCGCTCGTTGGCCTGCGCCAGCGCCTCCGTGTACAGGCGCTCCTTGCGCTGCAGCGCCTCCACCTGCCCCGTCAGCTCCGCCACCTGCTGCCCCGCGCGCTGCAGCGTCGCCGCCTGCTCGCCCGCCACGCGCGTCACCCCCTCCAGCTCCTTGCTCAGCGCCGCCACGCGCCGGTTCGCCGCCGCCAGTGCCTCGCTGCTGCCCGCGCCCGCCGGGGCGGACAGCGGCGGCGCGGGGGCCTTGGCGGAGTCGTTCCAGCGGATGGGCGTCAGCAGGCGCTGCGAGGGGCGCAGGGCAGGGCGTGGCAGCAGGGCGGGCGGAGAAACGGTTGGGTGCGGGCAGTGGGTACGTGCAGAGGGGTTGAAACAACGCGAGTAAAGGGGCGAGAGTGCATGTGAAGGGGCGAGAGTGCATTTGAAGGGGCGAGAGGGCAGAGGCGCCTTACCTTGGCGGGCCCAGCAGCCCTCCGCTCCGCCTCCTCTGCTACCTGCTGCTCCCTCGCCTTGCGCTCCGCCGCCTGCAGTGGGGACAACCAGGGGTGCAGGGCGGCGCCATGAGATGCAGTGCGGTGAGACGTGGCAGTGGAGGGCCAGAGAAAGACCAGCGGGCAGAAAAAGGCAAGCAGGCGCGGGTGAGACGATGGCGTGAGGCAGAGGCGAGGGGCGGGGCGGGGAGGGGCGAGGCCACGGAGAGCGCTTGAGGATGGAGGGGTGGAGGGGTGGAGGCACTCACCTGGGCGATAGACTCTGCGAAGCTGACGTCAGCAGCGAGCCATTTGGCAAAGGCTTCGTTGATGTACGCCCGCTGGGCTTGCTGCGCTCACCGGAGAAAAGGGGGGTGTTGCGACGGGGGGTGGGTAGCGGGGGATGGAGTGGGGAGAAGGGGGGAGTTGAGAAGGGGGGGTAGTGGGGCACAGAGTGGGGAGAAGGGGGGGTGAGGAGGGGAGGGTGGCGAATGCGAGATGAGGGGATTTGCAGACTGGGAGGTGAGCAGCACGCGAGCATAGCAGGGCGAGGGGAGGGGGGAAGGCAGGGCAGGGAGGGGGGAAGGCAGGGCAGGGAGGGGGGAAGGCAGGGCAGGGAGGGGGGAAGGCAGGGGAGGGAGGGGGGAAGGCAGGGCAGGGAGGGGGGAAGGCAGGGGAGGGAGGGGAGAAGGCAGGGGAGCGCACCACCCAGTCGGAGTTGGAGTCGCCTGGCTGCCCTGTGCGCTCGCGCTGGCGGTAGATGCTCTCCGCTATCTCTATCACGCGCGCCGTCGCCCCCGCCAACACCTTCTCCATCGCCTGCCCGCCGCACGGGGGGGGCGCGGAAAGGGGAGACAAAGACACGGCGGGGAGAAAAGGGATGGCATGAAGGCATGCAGGCGGCAGGAAATACAGCGTGTGCTCATCGTGCTACCTACGTACCTACCCACACACCCTCGAGCGGCCCTGCAAGGCATGCAAGCGCCAGCCTGCACGCATCGCATTGCACCACTGCACACCCGTCACCTCTCCGCTAAGCGCTACCCCGCATGCCTCTCATGGGACTCCCGCATGCATCATTCCCCCTGTCCTCCCTCTCCCCCCTCTCCCCTTCCCCCCGCGCACCTCCGTGAGCACGCCCATGGGCGGGCTGATGCCGGCGCGCCTCTCCGCCACGAGCGCGGACGCGGCGTCCGCAGGCATGCCGCGCACGAACATGAGGTACCTGCGCGCGCACACAAGGGACGAGGGGGGCGCGCACAGATACACACGAACATGAGGTACCTGCGCGCGCACACAAGGGACGAGGGGGGAGCGCACAGATACACACGAACATGAGGTACCTGCGCGCGCAGCACGGCCGATGCACACAGATAGGGGACGAGGGGGGTGCTCAAACAGTCGGCCACTCCTGCACGTGCGTTGCTACACGGCTTGCACCCTTGCTGTTCTAGGCTACACGCTTGTAACCACGTCACCGTTCCTTCCTTTTACCCACGTCACCGTTCCTTCCTTTTACCCACGTCACCGTTCCTTCCCTTTACCCACGTCACCGTTCCTTCCCTTTACCCACGTCACCGTTCCTTCCCTTTACCCACGTCACCGTTCCTTCCCTTTACCCACGTCACCGTTCCTTCCCTTTACCCACGTCACCGTTCCTTCCCTTTACTCACGTCACCGTTCCTTCTCTTTACACGTCTACTTCCGGGCCTTGGTCCCCGCGCGCGACTCACCCGATGGCGATGAGCGGCGAGACGCGGTCGCCCGACGAGCACTGCAGCACCACCGTGTGCCCCGCCGTCACCAGCGCCGACACCACCCGCACCACCTGCGGCAGCATCAGCGCCTGCCGCCCATGGGGGAGACCAGAGTGGAGGAAGAGCGTTGAGGTGGAGCGGAGCAAGCGGAGACAAAGACGGAGGACAAGGAGGAGAGGCCATGGTAGTCGAAGCACTTCAAGCGCCTCACCTGCTCCGTGGCGGCGTGCGCCTCACCTGCTCGGCGTGCGCCTCACCTGCTCCGTGGCGTCGTGCTCCTTGACGGGCACCCACACGGCCACCACGCCTTGCTCCTCCAGCCGCCGCCGCTCCTCGTCCCAGCTGCTGCCGCGCGCCTTCATCGCGCTCTCTTCCTGCACGACGCCGCCACCAACGGCACACGCATGCTATGTCAGCACGCGTAGAAATGGGCACGAGATGTGAGCAGGACGTTGGCATGAGCGACAGGGTTGAGTGTGCGAAGCACCCGCGGCGTGCGCGGGGCGGCTCGTACCTCGACGTTAACGTACCTCGACGTTAACAACGGCCGTCATGCCGAACTGCGTCTGCAGCGCGCGCACGTCCTCCGCGCCCGCCGTCGTGACGCTCCCGCCAATCGCCACTTGCTCCGTCACCGCCGACCACAGCGGGTCCGCGCGCAGCACTGCGCACCCCACGCGCGCGGGGGGACACCACCGCGGCGGATGGCACGAGGAAAGGGGGGAGGGGAGGCAGAGGGCAGAGGAGGTCGTTAGGAAATGGGGATGACTAGTACTGGCGGGGCCAAGACATTCGCGCGGCACTGGAGCAGGAATGAAGCGGAGGAGGGACGAAACAGCAATTCTGCCCGAAGGGCAGTGCAGGGGCGCGCCCAATCCCCATCCACCTACCCGAGCCGTTCAATTGGAGCCGCTCGCTCTGCGGAGTCTCCGCTTCGGCGCTCACGCGAACAACTGCGGACTTGCGCCCCCTGTCCGCGCGGCTCCCGGGTGGGAAAAGCGCGGCGGATGACCTGAGCGCGCGCAGTTGGTGTGCTTGCGGGGCAGCGGAATGCGAGAGTAGCGCAATTGCTGGGAGGTGGTGGGTGGAGTCGAGGCGGTGAGCGTGGCATGACGCACATGGCTGCAGGTCCGCGCGCAGCACGGTTTTGCAGCTTGCGCCGAGCGCGGAAAGCATGGTAGCGCTGGAAGGCTGCGAGCGGCGAGCTTATGTGCTGTGGCTCGACGGATTCTTTCGGGTCTGCAGCGTGTCTGGAGGTGGAAGCAGCACACAAAACGGCGTAAGGCTGTAGACGACTAACTCGGTTGAAACGCACTTGGCATTTCCAAGAAAACTACCAATTCCGTGGTGGTGCAAGAGACGTCGAGTCGAGACGAGAGCGCGAATTGGTGGTGAGGAGGGGGGGATTGCAGCGAGTGAATGTGGCGTGCGGGGGCGGGGTGCGTGGGTGGTGGCGAGAATGGGTTTGGACGGATTTGAAGGAAAGGGGGGCCGAACGACGGTCACCAACGAAACGATTCGCGCCGTCGAAACTTCGTTGGAACACCAGTCGCAGATATCGGTCTCCCTCGCAACAACAGGCCGAACGGGCAGATATTGACGTCAAAATCTTTCGCCACGTTGGCGGACTAGCTGTTCAAGTCCCCCAAAGAACTGGGTTCAGGAACTTGCCACATCTGCCGTCGATCTCTACAGCGCTCGCCCAATCGTGGGGCTCTCCAACCCAAGGGGAGTGTCATTGGCCCCCAGCGTCGAACCGCGTCGCGTGGGCACAAACCAACAGCCAATGCGGTGCGGTGTAGCCGAAACCAAGGGTCAAGGATTAGAGATGGATTAGGTGGCTGACAGCCATCGAACACTGCTGCCGCCCACCAGTATCCGCGCCAACGCTGCTCGCAACTCTCTAAAGTCATGCTCCCGAAATACATGCTATTTGCCCTAGCTTTATCGAGAGCTGAAAATTTATTATGATCATCATCAGAAGCTTGCATACACACTCAGGAACCAAGCACACTCGCTTTATACAATTGCTGCTACAGGCGCTCCATTGCCATAGAGGCGAGTGTTGCTCTCAGGAAGGTCATTGGGGTTGCGCATCGCCAGACGACTTTCCTTGTGGCGGCACCTTTCTTCGCTTGAGTATGCTCTTGTCCTGCGGGAAACATGCCAGTTCCGACGCCATACACAAGGAAAAGAGCACTGGCAAAGTGAGGATTTGTGAAAACTGTACAAGTGCGTCACATCCACACACGAGAGGCACCTAAGAAGAACAGTGGTGCATTCATGCACGCATGCAAGAGACGTGTACCAGCGATGGGAAGGTGGTGCCTTTGAGGGCGTGTACCAGCGATGGGAAGGTGGTGCCTTTGAGGCGTGTACCAGCGATGGGAAGGTGGTGCCTTTGAGGCGTGTACCAGCGATGGGAAGGTGGTGCCTTTGAGGCGTGTACCAGCGATGGGAAGGTGGTGCCTTTGAGGCGTGTACCAGCGATGGGAAGGTGGTGCCTTTGAGGCGTGTACCAGCGATGGGAAGGTGGTGCCTTTGAGGCGTGTACCAGCGATGGGAAGGTGGTGCCTTTGAGGCGTGTACCAGCGATGGGAAGGTGGTGCCTTTGAGGCGTGTACCAGCGATGGGAAGGTGGTGCCTTTGAGGCGTGTACCAGCGATGGGAAGGTGGTGCCTTTGAGGCGTGTACCAGCGATGGGAAGGTGGTGCCTTTGAGGGCGGAGACGAACTCCTCCTGCAGCGCTGCCAGGCGCTCCTCCTTCACGCGCGCCTCCTCCTGCATCCACTCCATCTGCTCCTTCATGCTCCGCAGCGCCTGCCACCCCCACCCCCCATCCCATGCAGTCCCCGCACCGCGGGAGTTCATGAGGGTCGTATCCCATGGCAAGGGAGGGCAGGGGGGGCATGGAGCACAGAAAGCCCCTCAGTTACAGAATCGGTACTCCACAAACTCATCTTTGAGAATTCTCAAAAGTGATTTCAAACTCATCCATCTGATACGAGCAACTGGCAAGTGTGAGCAGCGTGCCTCACCTGGCGGGTGTCAGAGGCGGCGGAGAGCATGTGAGCGCTGCGTTCGAGCTCTCTCTTCATGAGCCCCAGCGCCTGGTCGCGCTTCGCCACGCCCCGCCGCAGCGACTCCCTCTCCATCTCCAGCTCGCGCGCCCTCCTCTCCGCCTCGCGCAGCGCCTGCAGGAAGGGGGGAGAGTGGTGGTTTTGTGCGGGTGGGGAGAGTGGGGGTTTTGTGGGGGTGGGGAGAGTGGGGGTGAAGCAGCGACTCCCTCTCCTTCTCCAGCTCCCGCCCTCCTATCTGCCTCGCGCAGCGCCTGCCCCCCCCCCAGTCGTACCACACACAAATAGAGCATCGGGGAGGGGTGCGAAAGGAAGGGGGGAGAGTGGTGGTTTTGTGTGGGGAAAAGGGGCATACAGGAAGCAAGGCAAGGAGGGTGAAGCAGCAATGAGATGATGGGAGGCACGGCACAAGCATGAGCTCTGCCCTCGCACCCACCACCTCCACCCTCTCACCACCCTCCAATGACTCACGAGCTCACCACCCTCCAATGACTCACGAGCTCGGCGCGCTGCCCTCCACCCTCTCAGCAAAGCAACCCTCTTGACTCACGAGCTCGGCGCGCTGGGCGCGGATGTTCTCGGTGGTGTCGCGGCGCAGACTCTCCACCTCCGCCTCGCGCTGCTCCAGCTGCTCCACCAGCTCCGCCTCGCGCTCCCTCGCTGCATTCAGGTCCTGCCAGTGCCGTGCCACCAGGGTGGGAGAGGGACAAGCATGGGGAGGCACAGGTGGTGCAAGGGGTGAGCACCACCAACGCGCTGCTCCATCTGCTCCGCCTCTCGTTCCCTCGCTGCATTCAGATCCTGCATTCACCACAACCAGGGTGGGCGGGCGGGCGGGCGACAAGCATGGGAGGCACAGGTGGTGCAAGGGGTGAGCACCACCAACGCGCTGCTCCAGCTGCTCCGCCTCTCGCTCCCTCGCTGCATTCAGATCCTGCATTCACCACAACCAGGGTGGGCGGGCGGGCGGGCGACAAGCATGGGAGGCACAGGTGGTGCAAGGGGTGAGCACCACCAACGCGCTGCTCCAGCTGCTCCGCCTCTCGCTCCCTCGCTGCATTCAGATCCTGCATTCACCACAACCAGGGTGGGCGGGCGGGCGGGCGACAAGCATGGGAGGCACAGGTGGTGCAAGGGGTGAGCACCACCAACGCGCTGCTCCAGCTGCTCCGCCTCTCGCTCCCTCGCTGCATTCAGATCCTGCATTCACCACAACCAGGGTGGGCGGGCGGGCGGGCGACAAGCATGGGAGGCACAGGTGGTGCAAGGGGTGAGCACCAACGCGCAGAGCACATGACCACTCGTGATCCATGCAATGCTTACTTGGCTACCCACTCCTGTCTCATTGCACCTTCCCCTTACCCTCACCAGTTTCTCCCCTTCACCCTGTTTGCCTTACCATCCCATCCCATGTGGCCCCCTGCCTGCACCACCTAGCAGCCCTCCCTGCCGCCCACCTGGTTGACCTGTGCAGCAGTGCACAGGGCGTCAGCAGAATCTGTTTTTTTAGAATTCTCACAGAACAGATTCAGCAAACAACTCCCTGGCGCCCACCTGGTTGATCTGTGCCGCGGTGCGCAGGGCGTCAGCAGAGGAGACAGCATCGGCACGAATGTCATTGAGCAGCTGGTCCTGCTGCCGCACCTCCGCTTCCAATGCCCCCACCGACCCCTGCAGCGCTGCTATGCGCGCCTCCGCCCCCGCCAGCTCCTGCACCCCGCACACCGCACACAGTGGGGGGAAATGGGGCAGGGGGGAGAGGAGAAGAAGGGGAAAAACAATCAGGGAAGAAGGAGAAAAGAGAAAGAGGGGATGTGGGAAGGGTGGAAAGCGAAGCATGGTAGGGGAAAGGGGGGAGGGGGGAAGGGGGGAAAGGGGGGAAAGGGAGAGAGAGTGCGGATGGAAGGCGGGGTGGTGGAGTGGGCTGGGCGAGGCAAGACAAGGATGTTCCCATGTCTCACCTTGCGAGTGTTGGCAGCAGCGAGCAGCATGTCAGCGTTGCGCATCGTCTCCTCCTTCACCGCCGCCAGCAGCGAGTCCTTGCTCAACGCCACCTCCTGCTCTCACGCTCACACACACACACACACACACACGCACGCACACACACACACACCACACGCACACACACACACACCACACGTGAGCACGAGGGCGCGAGGTGGGGTGGGGAGAGGGGTGGGAGGAGAGAGAGAGAGAGTAGCGAGTACTAGGTGGGTGAGAGGGTTACACGGACCAGGGGTTACACGGACCAGGGGTTACACGGACCAGGGGTTACACGGACCAGGGGTTACACGGACCAGGGGTTACACGGACCAGAGGTTACACGGACCAGGGGTTACACGGACCAGGGGTTACACGGACCAGGGGTTACACGGACCAGGGGTTACACGCACCAGGGGTTACCAGCACAGCATCATCCTCTGCATCAGTTCAGCCCACAAGGCACGCTCATGCCACCTCGTGAATCCCATCCCACCACCCCTTCCCACCCCTTCCCTTCCCTTCCCACCCACCCACCCACCTTGAGCGAGTCCACCTCGCCTTCCAGCAGCTGCACGCGCGCCTGTGCCTCCATCAGCCGCTGTGCCGCGCTCATCTGCCCCGCCACCGCCGCTGCGGCCGCCGCCCGCTCCTCCTCCACCGCCGCCTCCGCCTGCTGCCTCCCCGCCTGCTCCTCCCTCGCCTGCCGCGCTGCCTCCTCCAGGGCCTGGGGCAAGGGGAAAGAAGGAAGAGGGGGGAGGGGAGGTCGCGGTGATGTCACGGGCAGCGAGAGAGCAGGTTGGGGCAGGAGAGAGCTTGTACCCGTGATGAGCAGGTTGACCCACTCACTCAACCCCTCCCCACTCACTCACACACCAATTGAGCCCCTCGTTCGCCCCTCCACAGCCGCTCGCCGTGCCTACCTGCTGCGTGGCTTGCAGCTGCGCCCTGACAGCGTCTGCCTCCTCTTGGCTCTGCTGCATGGCCCGCTCCTTGCGCTCCACCTCGCTCTCCAGCCGCCCCACCCGCCCCGCCATCTCCTCCGCCGCCATGCGCGCCTCCGCCAGCTCCTGCAAGGGATGTCATAAAAGGGTGATGAAATTGTATTTTTGAGACGTCTCAAAAATCTCCTTTACTGCCATGCGCGCCTTTTGAGACGTCTCAAAAGCCGCCAGCTCCTGCAAGGTGATAGGAGGGTGTTCTTGAGAAGGCTAAACAATCTCCTCTCCGCCAGCTCCTGCACGCGCCCCATCCATCACCCACGCAACACAGCAGCAGCGGTGGGAGCAGGGACGGGGAGAGAGAGAGTGGTTGATGAGGATGCAAGCCGATGGGGAGGAACAGGATGCGTTGCGAAATGGCAAGTGAGGGAACCAGGAGCAGTGGCAGGCAGGCATTGCTGATGCAGAATGCACAAGAGCGAGCCCTTGCACCCCGCCCCATGCCTGTCTAAACATCGCACGTTTTCCCATGAAGCCCCCATCCTCCCATTCCCTCTTCCCCCCCCCTTCCAGGCGGTGGTGCACGTTTTGAGACGTCTCAAAAAGTTACTCATATCACGTGGCTCCCCCCCCATTCCACGTGGTGGTGCGCGCGTCACACGTCACCTCCCCCCCATTCCAGGCGGTGGTGCACACGGCGGTTGTTCCCCCATTCCCTCTTCCCCCCCCCCGCCCTTCCAGGCGGTGGGGCACGCACGGCGGTGACGCGCGCGACGTTCTCCCTCTCGCGGCGGGTCTTGGCTCGCTCCTTGGCCAGCTGGTCTCCCATCGACTCACAAATCGACTTTACGCGGCAGGGCAGGGCAGGGCACGGCACGGCAGGGCAGGGCAGGGCAGGGCAGGGCAGGGCAGGGCAGGGCAGGGCAGGGCAGGGCAGGGCAGGGCAGGGCAGGGCAGGGCAGGGCAGGGCAGGGCAGGGCAGGGCAGGGCAGGGCAGGGCAGGGCAGGGCAGGGCAGGGCAGGGCAGGGCAGGGCAGGGCAGGGCAGGGCAGGGCAGGGCAGGGCAGGGCACGTACAGCAGTGACACGGGCGGTGTTCTCGCACTCGCGGCGGGTCTTGGCGCGCTCCTTGGCCAGCTGGTCGCCCATCGACTCCAGCTGCTCCTCTATCCTCAACGTGCGGTCCCTCGCCGCCACCATCGCCTGCTCGCCCGCTCACACACACACGGCAGGGAGGGAGGCAGGGAGGCAAAGCATAAAGCATGGAGAGATGTGTGTTGCTGCTGGACAATGATCCTGTAAGAGATGCCGTCACTCTATCGTCCATTTGCTTCCCTACCCACAGCACTGCAACCCAGCCCAGCCCAGCCCACCCCATCTGATACCAGGCTGTGAAGCAAAGCAAAACCCTTCCCAGGCAAACAAACCCCCCATCCCCCTCAGCCCACCCTGGCGGCCTGTTTGAGAAAGGAGGCGGAGAGCGCGGCCTCCTCCTGCAGCTGCTATGCGCCGCTTCCCTACCCACGCCACCGCAGCCAACCCCACCCCACCCTCTGTGAGGCAAAGCGCCTAACCCCCCCTGCCTGCGCACCCTGGCGGCCTGCTTGAGCGCGGAGGCGGAGAGTGCGGCCTCCTCCTGCAGCTGCTGCAGGAAGGCGTCCCGGTGCGCTATGCCCTCCTGCGCCTCCATCAGCTGCCGCCTCATCCTCTCCTCCCTCCCCGCTGCACTCTCCAGCTCCTGCTCGCACGGCCGCCCATGTGGGTCGGTTGGATGGTGGGGTTGTGGGGAGGAGAGGGGGGGATGGATGGGAGGGGTGTGGGAGAGGGAGTCGAGACGAGACAGTTGAGGGGACGGAGGCGGAAGGGGAAGAGGAAGGAAAAGGACGTGAGTGAGAGGAATGGTAGATGGGGGATGGAGGACGGAAGAGGTTATCGATATGGATGTTGACTGCGGTAGAGTGCGGTGCAGTGCGAGGTGCGGGCAGTGTGGCAGGTCGTGAGTGTGGCAGGTCGTGAGTGTGGCAGGTCGTGAGTGTGTGTGGCAGGTCGTGAGTGTGGCAGGGCGTGAGTGTGGCAGGTCGTGAGTGTGTGTGGCAGGTCGTGAGTGTGGCAGGTCGTGAGTGTGGCAGGTCGTGAGTGTGTGTGGCAGGTCGTGAGTGTGTGTGGCAGGCAGGCAGGTCGTCAGTGAGTGTGTGTGGCAGGCAGCGCACCTTCTGCATGCGCTGCTGCTGCTCCGTCATCTCCCTCCGCAGCTCGTCCTTCTCCACTCGCGACCGCTCCTCCACCGCCCTCATTTGCTGCTCGCCACGCCGTGCACCCATGCACGCATGCACACGCACACATGCACGCACACGCACATGCACACAAACATGCACACACACGAGCACACACACGAACACACAGGCAGGAAGGAACTCTTTGAAGCGGAAGCAGAAATGAAAGAAAAGAAAGCGAGAGTGATGAGGTGAGGACGGAAGGAAAGGAGAAAGCACAGAAGAGATCACAGGAGGGGTCACAGAAGAAAGCAAGGGTGGGTGCCATGAGCTCCTCCCCTCAAGGCGGTGGGTGCAGCGCAGCGCAGGCAGCAAGGCAGAATGGCGTGGGGCGGGGAGCACCTGCTTGGTGGACTTGGGGTGTGCCAGCAGGCGTTCGACTTTTGAGTCGACTCAAAAGCCGACTCAAAAGTCAACCAAAAAGTCAAGTCAAAAGTCAACTGGCACCTGCTTGGTGGACTTGGCGTGGGCGAGCAGGCGGTCGAGCACGGTGTCCTTGTGGGCCGCCTCCTTCTCCATGGCTGCAAACTGCACCTGCATGCGCGCCACCATCTCCTCTGCTCTCCGCACCACTGCGCCCTGCCATGCCCACACCATGTTATGCCCGCACATGCCATGACCACACATGCCATGACCACACATGCCATGACCACACATGCCATGCCCGCACATGCCATGCCCACACAATGCCATCCCCACACATGCCATGCCCATGTGCCCATACGATTCCATTCCCATGCCACGCCCCATGCACAGCATAGAGCACATGCACATCTTCGCTCGTTTATTGCAGAAGCCTCGGAACTGCAGGATAGAAGTCTCTGTCTCTCCCGAGCTCGCCGCCATAGCTTCCTGTCAGGAACTACCAAGTCAACAATGTCAGCTCTAACCTAGTCAGTTTCTTAATCTGAACACAGTTTCGGGATCTACGTATCAGGAAGCTGACTATCGACACCAAGATATGTTCACACAGCGAACATCGGTTTCGTCGAATCACTTCTGAAAGTTCCCGTGTTTCCAGGTTAAAACTTTCAAGCTTCAGACATTGCTAAAGCTGTTCCGACGAAGAGTATACTAATGGCTGGACGGATTTCAAGCCTCAACCAAAGACGGCATCGAGAAAGCATTGCTGGTTACAGTCAGCACCAAAGATTCAAATTCAAACAAGTTTATCAACGGAACATCTTCCGTCTATCGTCTTTTCCTGCCATTCAGCGACAACCACACCAACAACCATTGCTTCATGAAAAGTTCAAGATGATTGATTCGTTGGCTACTCAAGTGTTTGACGACAAAGAAGATTTCCTTCCTTATACATTCAAGCATGAAGATTCAGACAGGAAACTACAAGAGTTTCACGCTCATCTAGAAGACGTGGATACATTGTGGTTCTCTACACATATTCTTCTTTATTTTTCTTTCCTCAGAGAAGACACCTCCGTGACACTGGCAGAACCTGCAGCATCTTCCATTCACATGCTTGAAACAGTTCGCGCCAGTGACAACGCTGACAATAACGCTGACTCTGACACTCTATGCAAACATGGCTGACGTTGGTGTTACTAATAAGCAACAAGACGCGCATCTGCAGATAGAAGATTCTCAGGAGTTCCCGTCAGTGGGAGTTAACTTTTCTCGTCAAGGCATGTTCTTCCAGGGAGAGAACGTCAGATCTGAGATAGCTGCTGCTGCAACATTTCGTCATCAGAATTCGCATAGAGAACTGGGAGGAGAATTTCCAGCCAACTTGCGTCACCACAGACGTCTGATAATAATTACCATTAAAACCGACTCTCACCGCATTCCCACCAAAGTGGCAACCAAAGCTAGCACCCCCTCTCCCATTCACCACCGTGAGCTTCATCGCCTCAAGCAGTGGAATATTGAAGTCTCCCAGGCCTAAAACTTTGGGCAAGGCAGGTTCGGTGGTAGCCTACCAAAACCGAAGCAACAAGTACAGTGCGGGGAATGTATCAAGATCAAGATGCTTCTACGAGCGTTGAAGTGTGCCAACGGCACAAAGAGTTTTCATAAGGGGCAGTTTGCAATTTTTAGGCACCTTGTTTATAGACCACCATAGAGGCTTCCGCGAGGGTACGGTATGCTATACCTAGGCCCTCTAGCCCAGTTACGACCGCTGGATGGTGTTTTTTGCATTGTATAATGTGATTTCACCTCCTTAAAAAAAAAAAAAAAAAAAAAAAAAAACATGCACAACATAGAGCACATGTCAGCGGCTGCCAGATTGCAGTCCCATGCTGCGTCACGCTATCACAGAGCAATGCCTCATGCGGGGTGCAAACGCACTGCTACCCACGTGCCCTCCTCCCACCCACGTGCCCTGCCACCCACGTGCCCTGCCACCCACGTGCCCTGCCACCCACGTGCCCTCCTCCCACCCACGTGCCCTGCCACCCACGTGGCCTCCCACCCACGTGCCCTGCCACCCACGTGCCCTCCTCCCACCCACGTGCCCTGCCACCCACGTGCCCTCCCACCCACGTGCCCTGCCACCCACGTGCCCTCCTCCCACCCACGTGCCCTGCCACCCACGTGCCCTCCCACCCACGTGCCCTGCCACCCACGTGGCCTCCCACCCACGTGGCCTCCCACCCCACCCACGTGGCCTCCCACCCACGTGGCCTGGCGCCCACCTGGCCGGCAGCAGGCTCGCTGGAGCGGATGCCCGAGATGAACTGCGTTGACTCGCCCATCTCCTGCTCGCCCACCATGCCATGCCACGCCACGCATGGGGGGGAGAGTAGGCGTGAGGGTGAGTGTGTCTGTGCGTGTGATGCGAGTGGTGCGTGTGATGCGAGTGTGCGCATGGTAACGGGACAAGTCATGCAGGCTCTGCTGTAACGTTGCAACGTAGTGGCCCAGCACGGTGACCTGACCGAGCATGGCGCTCCACACACACGGGTACCTTGTGGCGGGCGGAGAGCCCACCTTGTGGTGGGCGGAGAGCCCACCTTGTGGCGGGCGGAGAGCCCACCTTGTGGCGGGCGGAGAGCCCACCTTGTGGCGGGCGGAGAGCCCACCTTGTGGCGGGCGGAGAGCCCACCTTGTGGCGGGCGGAGAGCCCACCTTGTGGCGGGCGGAGAGCCCACCTTGTGGCGGGCGGAGAGCCCACCTTGTGGCGGGCGGAGAGCCCACCTTGTGGCGGGAGGAGAGCCCACCTTGTGGCGGGCGGAGAGCCCACCTTGTGGCGGGCGGAGAGCCCACCTTGTGGCGGGCGGAGAGCCCACCTTGTGGCGGGCGGAGAGCCCACCTTGTGGCGGGCGAAGAGCCCACCTTGTGGCGGGCGGAGAGCCCGCTTTCCAGCTGCTCCATGCTCTTCGCCATGTTCGATAGCAGCGCGCGCGCCTGCAGGTACGTCCCGCTGCCCGCCCCTGCCTCTCCCCCCCCGCTCTGCCCTGGCCCAGCCGCCCCCGCTCCTCCTTCCCCCGGTCTCTCCCCTCGCGCTGGCCCAGCCCCCGCCCCTTCCGCTACTCCCGCGCCCGCCCACGTTGCCCCCGCCACGTGCACCCCGCGCCAGAGCTCTGGCCGCCCCGCCAGCTGCTCCCGCACCACTGACCCCTCCGGCACCTCCTGCTCCCCCGTCCCCCTACCGCCCTCCTCGCCCCCTTCCCCCTGCTCCTGCCGCGTCTCGAGTTGACCCGCGCCCTCGCTCCCCCGATCGATGCCCGCGCCTCTGCTCTCATCACTCCCCCCATCGCCGCCAGCAGCGGCAGGCGCTGCAAAAGCGGCGGGGAGGGCCGCGGAGTCAGTAGGACGCGGGAAGAAGGGTGGGGGGAGCCTGCGGGCGGGGGGAAGGAGGGGGGGAGGGGGAGGTCAAGGGGGCGCATGAGCTTGGGCGGAGCAAACGAGGAGTGCGTGGAGCGAGGGGCGCTGCCCGTAGTGTACGCGGTACATGGTCAATACGTGTTACAACGGTATTGGGTGTAACATATCGACCTTACTCCCCTCAACCCCCTTTCGCCCCTCTCCATGTCCACCTGTATTCCTTTCCGCCTTGCGCGCCGTCGCTTCCTTCCCAAGACCCTGCGTCCTCCTCCGCCTCCTCCGCGTCACCCGGCGCGCGCATGCGCCGTTGCTCCTCCGCCTGCAGCAGCTCCAGCAGAAGCTGCTCGCCTGCCTCGCCCTCCCCGCCGCCCTCGCGCCCCATGCTCCGCAGGATCGACGCGCGCCCGTCCGCCTGGGCGCGGGTGGCTTCCGCCATCTCCTCGTGCACGCGCGCCAGGATGTCCGCCAGCTCCGCGCTCTCCGCCTTTGCACTCGCCCCTGCACCCTTATCCCCGATATTATCTGCTTCGTTCGCAGCAGTTCCATTCGCGTCTTCGCCGCTCGCGGCAGCGACGAGCCGGCTGAAGTGACCGCGGCTCCGCGCGTGGCTCCCGCTCTGCCGAACAGGTAGACGCGACCACCGTAGCGATACAGAATGCCGGAGAAGCTGATAGCGAGACGTCGGAACTAAGGGCCGCCATTGGTGGTTGGACGCGGGGGCGCGAAGGGTGGTTTCAGAGTGCAAGAGGGCGTGTAGCGGGTGGCGCGAAGCAGGATACGCCTCCATGCGCTCACGCTGCCGGCAAAGGAACAGGCGCGCGTCGTGTTCCCGCTGTTTCTGAGACTTCTTTAGACACTTCAAACACAACTGCCTTCACAATCGACAGTCATGCTGCTCGTGGAAAGGCGACGGCAAAAAAAACTCGAACGTGATCGTGAGTTCTGTCAATGACGAAGTGGGTTGGGCAGAAAATGGTGCTGGTTTGGTTGCATGTATCAGAGCAGGGAGCGATACAGGCAAGCAGCCGTTGGTATGGGATGGGAGGCTTGGGGGAGGGGCGGCCTGTCAGGAAAAGCCCGTGGCTTGTTGGCGAAGCGGGTAACAGGAGTTCGGATAACGCAGTGGAACCTGGCCGCAGATGATGCCTTGGTGAAGTTGCGCGATGCACCTCGACGACGAAATGGTGTGAAATTTTGTTTTGCAGCATTGGATTATCCATTTCGTTTCTGTTACTAGTGCAATTGAGTGAACTAAGATTGCATTATTGAAGCAAAACAATACATTGAGCGAAGGAAAGAGCGAGTGTTAAATAGCAAACTATTGTGGTACGGTAACGGTAACAAGCGAATTGTGGGGTGTGCGACGGGCCTGGCGCCGAGGTTGGGAATTGTCGAGGCGGAGGGCCGGAGCGCGGGTTACCAGCCGAGCCATGAGGTTGGGTCGCGATGTGAACAGTGGAGGGAACAGTAGTCGAGGCGAGTTTCGCGAGATGGTAACCGTTTTCTGTTGGGTACTGTTCTCGGGAACAGTCGTGTACGCGGTAAGAAGGGGCGCGAAGTAAGGAAATTGATTTTTTCCTTATAGTTTCTTTATAACTGATCTCAAGATTAGTCAAATATCCATTTACTACGATTGCAGCGTATTGTCAAAACGTATGTCTGTTGTCTAGGCTGTAGTGGGGTAGCCCCTAGAGGGTACAACCCATTAGGGTTAGTACTTGATGTTAGTCAATCATTCCGCTGTACTCTCATTCTGACATGGTATCATGCGCTAGGTTAGGTCCGACTGCCGCACATACTACAGGAACTACGATTAGGTTAGGTTTGCCCCGCTGCCCCGCGCCTCGAGTGCCACTTCCCTACAGCCCCGCACGACGCGCGCCACTGCCCTGCTGCCCCGCGCATCGCGCTCGCCCTGCTGCCCCCCCGTGCGCCCTGCTGCCCGCGCGCTCTGCTACCCTGCACGCCCTGCGCGCCCTGCTGCCCCGCGCCACGCGCGCCCTTCTGCCCTACGCGCCTCGCGCGTCCTGCTGCCCTGCGCGCCCCGCGCGCCCTGCTGCCCCGCGCCCCGCGCGCCCTGCTGCCCCCCCGCGCCCCGTGCGCCCTGCTTCCCTGTGCGCCCCGCGCGCCCTGTTGCCCGCAGGCCCCGCGCGCCCTGCTGCCCTACACGCCCCGCGCACCCTGCTGCCCAGCGCGCCCCGCGCGCCCTGCTGCCTGCACGCCCCGCGCGCCCTGCTGCCCTACGAGCCCCGCGCGCCCTGCTGCCCTACGCGCCCCGCGCGTCTTGCTGCCATGCGCGCCCCGCGCGCCCTGCTGCCCTGCGCGCCCCGCGCGCCCAATTGCCCGTGCGCTACCCTAGCCGCGCGCGCGCTCCCCTATCAGTGAACGCGCTGCCCTAGCTGCCCGCCCGCTGCCCTAGCTGCCCTCACGCTGCCCTAGCCGTGAGCGCGCTGCGCGTGCCCGCGTGCGCTGCCCAGCCCGTGTGCTACCCCGCGCGCCGCGCCTGCACGCCCCGCTGCCCTGCAGCCGCCGCTCCTGCCATAGCTACTGCTACAACCACTGCAATGGCCGCTACAGCTATTGCTACAGCTGTCACAGCCGCAGCACCTACAACTACAACTACAACAGCTACCGCTACCGCTACAACTGCCGCTGCACCTACCTCTGCTGTCGCTACAGGCACCCGCTGCCGCTACAGCTGCCACTGCCACACTTGCGCCGCTGCTGCTGACTGCCGATGCCCGTCATGGCCAATATCGCGGTCTTAGCGATTGACGCAGACGGACGCCCTTTCAAGTTGGGGTTGTGGCTTACGTGCCTACGCATGTATCTCTGGCGTTTCATTAGAGATAGCGTCTCCCTGCTCGAGCACACATCGTGGTCCCTTCAGGCCCCCACGAATCCCACTGAGCCTGCTGCTGACGCTTGCGAGGACGTGCAGTGGCGGTACAGGTCGGACAGCCTTGCTACACACAGTGGACGGAGCACGACGCTGTCGCACAGCTTGCCGTCCGAGCTCACCTGGCGGGCGACAAGAGGGCCCACTTTCGTCAGGTGAAGCCGGCCCAGACTTTTTATGATGCTGTGGTTAGACACTACTCCTCCCTCTCTCCTGCGACCTGGCCACTGTGGCGGTGCCGTCCGTTGTTAGGGGAGGTGCAGCAGCTGGTCGAGGAGGCGAGTGTAGGTACCTGTTCGTCTGCTCCTGCAGGTGGTGCCGCTGGTGGAGGCGGAGGTTCTGGGGGTGGACAGCAGCGGCAGCAGCGTCAGCTGGAGACCCTCTCGCCGCAGCAGCTTCGGGAGTGGGTTTCCCAGCGACGCGTCCCTCGTGGTGTAGAGGCTACTAGTCTAGGTGCCAGTGAGCCTGCTAGCAAAGCTGCAATCCCTGCGGAGGCTTTGCACACCTTCACGCTTGACTAAGGCGCGTCTCGCTGCTTCTTCCGCGATCGCACCACAGTCACACCGCTCACTACACTTGTCCCGGTCACTCTGGCTGACCCTTCTGGTGGCCCAGTCGTTGCACGTGGCTCCATCATTCTCCCGTGTCCGGCAGCCCCCTCCGGCTCCCTCACAGGTCTCCACCTCCCCTCGTTCGCTACGAACTTGGTGAGTAACGCTGTCCTCTAGGACCAGTTTGTCACAACCACTACTCCTGGGGGTGAGCTTGTGACAACCTGTACGGACTCACGGACTAGCGCCCACCTCGCCACGTTCACTCGGAGACCCGGGTCTGGCCTGTACACACTGACCACTGAGTTTGCACATGTGGCTGCGTTAGGTCAGGTAGCTGCGTCTTGCTTGTGTCGGTTACTCACGCAACCATCTCTCTACTGGCACCACCGTCTGGGTCACCCCTCCCTGCCGCGTCAGCGCAGCATGCACTCTCGTCTCCTTGTCTATGGCCTCCCCAGGTCCCTGCCCCCGCTCCCTCGGTCGCTTGCACCGCCGTGCCTTCCCCGCGTCGAGGGGCGGCAGCGCGCAGCTCCTCACTCCTCCTTGTTTCCTCCGACCACTGCTCCTCTGCAAACTCTCCACATGGACGTGTGGGGCCCCACCCGCGTCAGTGGACAGGAACGAGAGTGCTACTTTCTGCCGGTTGTTGACGACTACACGCGCTACACAACGGTCTTCAGGCGGATGTCCGCAGTGTCTTGATCCCTTGGATCCGCGCTGTCCGTCACCAGCTGAGCGCACGGTTCAAGCAGGACCTCCAGGTCCTGCGACTGCACTCTGAACGAGGTGGTGAGTTTTCCTCCCACCTCCTTGAGGACTTCTGTCGTGAGGAGGGCATCGCCTAGTCGTTCACACTTCTGGCCTCTCCACAGCAGAGCGGGATTGCTGGGCGCCGCATTGGCTTGATCATGGAGGTTGCTCACACCTCCATGATCCATGCAGCTGCTCCACATTTTCTGTGGCCGTTTGCGGTCCGCTACGCCGCGCATCAGCTCAACCTCTAGCCCCGTGTCTTCGAGCCAGAAACCTCGCCTACAGTGCGTTGGATGGGGGAGGTTGGCGATGCGTCGGCGTTTCACGTCTCGGATCGTTTGCCGTTGTCCGCGATACCACTGCGGCAAGCTCTCTTCTCACACCCTTCGCTGCGCCTTCATTGGCTTTCCCACCGACGCGCATGGCTGGCAGTTTTACCACCCAGCCACGTGCCGCGTCCTGTCTTCACAGGAAGTCACCTTTAATGAGTCGGTTGGCTTCTACCGTCTCTTCCCCCACAGCAGTTTTCCCCGTCCCCCCCCGCCTTTCTTCCTAGTTCCAGGTCCCCCCTGGTAGACCCCCTCCCCCCACAGGGTCTTGCTCCCTAAGGTGTGTCTCAGGTTGACCCACTCCCCTTGGTTGAGCCTTTGGAGGTCTCCTCTGAAACCTCTGGCCCAGCTGAGGGGGTTGACCATGCTGCTGACGACACAGCGCCCACTCGCCGCTCACCGCGCTTGGAGACCCCTCCTGGTTTTCCGCCTCTGCCTTCTTCGCCGCCTCCGCAGCCTGTCGCTGTGGACTCCGGTGCTGCTGGGGGTGGTGACACTGGAGGTGCGGACTCTGGGGGTACTGGTCCTAGGGGTGCTGACTCTGGAGGTTCTGCTTCTGGGGGTGCTGAGTGTCGGGGTGCTGGTTCTAGGGGTGCTGAGCGTCCTAGTGGTGGTGGAGTCGTGGGTGCTCCTGCTGGAGGTTATGGGGGTGGACAGCAGCAGCAGTCTCGTCGGCACGAGACTCTCTTGCCGCTGCAGCTTTGCGAGTGGGTTATTCGGCGAGGCCGCTCTGGTGGCGGAGCAAAAGCTGCTGGTATTGGAGGTGCTGGAGCTGGAGGTGCTGGAGGCGCTGGTGCTGGAGGTACTTGTGCTGGAGGTGCTAGTGCTGGAGGTGGTGGTGCTAGAGGTGCTGGAGTTACTGGAGCTGTACGTGCTGGAGGTGCTGGTGCTGGAGGTGCTGGTGCTGGAGGTGCTGGAGCTGGAGTTACTGGAGGTACTGGAGCTGTAGGTGCTGGAGGTGCTGGTGATGGAGGTACTGGAGCTGGAGGTGCTGTTACTGAAGGTACTGGAGCTCGAGGTTCTGGCACTGTGGGTACTGCACAGCTGCGTCCGTTTTTTCTTGCCTCAGCCGCAGTCGTCTCTGCCACCACCTGACTCGGCGCTTCGCCAGGTTCTTAGTCTTGCGTCTTCCACTGGCCTTACTCCACCTCCAATGTGTCCTCCACCTGACCAGTTATAGCCGCAGTTACAGCATGACTCCCTACAGCCTGCTCCTTCTCCCCACACTGAGCAGACAGACTCCCTGACAGAG